CGTTTGAAGCTTTCAAGCTTCGTGCTGTTGAACGGCATCCCGCTCTCGACGATGAACCGCATGATTTGCAGATGCCATGCGCGCTCCAAAGGGTCCGAATAATATGACGTGACAGCTTGCTGCCTGTAAGTGCCCCGACATCGTCCCGTCGTAGCTCTCCCGCCGAGGACCCCAGCATCCAACAACCCGCCAGGGCTCACAGGTGTCGCGCTCTGGGCGACTGCAAGGTCACGAATGCGCTGCAAAGGGTCTAACGTTCCGGTCAACACGGGTGGAGGCTCTGGGGCAGACCGACCACCGCCAGTGGTTGTCGGAACAGGGGTCAGCGATGAATCGGACACCGCAACGGGGACCTCCTCGGTAAGCACCCCATGATCCACCTGTTCCTCGAAACGAGGCACGGAGGCAGAATGTCGAGCATCTGCACGTGCGTGTGACGGATCTGGGTGGGCGGTTCCGTGAGCGTGGTGGACCATTGGACGCTGCGCCGCTCTCGACGGTGGCGGTGGCAGCCAGGGGTGCTCCGACGAACTGCGGGGTGATGCGCCAGGTGCCACCGCAGTACCACCCCGTGCGACATCTGACTGCCTAGCACTCCTGAAAACATGGGCGAGTGCGGGCGCGGAACTGTCGGCACTCCCCCCCCACCTTCAACTCTCAATAAATGCACGTGTGCTCTCCTCGTCAAATGCCGCAGAGCCCACACCATCCCTCAGAGGCGGGGGCTCGTTGGCTGGCGTGGAACGACCAACTCCCACATCGCGAGCACCTCGTATCCCAGCCAGCGGCGCAGACGGCGGGGCTGCCGGTCGTGTTGCAATTGTTGTTGCAGGACGCGGTACCGTGACTCGAATGGCCGGAGCCCCATAATTGGGCGATGCCACGGCTCCAGAAGGGGCGGTGGGAGGAACCAGCGACGGCACTGCGTCCTCAGGTAATCGAAGAGGTGGCCACTACAAGCTCGGATGACCTGGCAAGTGGCTCTGCAACGTTTCTATGGACGACGCGAACTCCTTTGGAGATTTTGTCATGTCCTTCGACCAGATCGCATTGCGCACAGCAGGAGTGGCTGCCTCACATCGGAACTTCTCGCTCTTCGAGAAGTGCTCCTTGGCGGCTTTAGCGCCCCCACAAATCGAACGCCCGCATAACCTGCACAGGCATCGACGACCGCTCTTCCTGCCCTTCGTCGTCGACCCATCCAAATAACGCCCTCTGGCCACGAAATGCCACACCGGGTCGTCCCGCTTGCCGTCGACTGTTGGGTCGACCTTGAACGGCGAGTCAAACGTCCTCGTGTTATGACCTTGTCGGGCGGTTGTGAGCGAGTCTACCGGATCCTTCCCCCGGTCCTGCGACATGATGAAAGTCGCCAACCGCGAAAAAAAAAGACGATGTCGGAACCCTCTAAGAATGTTGCCAACTCGCAACAAAGATCGAAGTCGGCGTCAGAGCGGCAAAGAAATGCTATGAAACAGGCAAAAACGATGAACGCAAAGTGCAGAACACCTGGACATCAGAGGGAAAACACAAGACGACATGAAACAAAAAAACAAGCAACCAAAGAATAACAAAAAAAACTCAGAACTCGGAGGCAAAAAAAAAAAAACGCTGATTTCTCTGTCCCTTGTCAAAAAAACGACAATGTTCTCCGCAAGGCAACCATTCCACAGGCGGAACTTCCGATTCCAGGAGGGCGATCCCACTAGACACGTATGTGGAACAGTGTGACTGGTGTGGGACGGCTGGGGGATAGGCGGGTGGTAGAGGGAAAGAGGGAAAATAAATGAAAAAAAAAGGGCAAGATTAACTTCACACACCGTTTGCTAACTCCACACACCAACAAAAGAGAGAGAGAGAGAGAGAGAGAGAGAGAGAGAGAGAGAGAGAGAGAGAGAGAGGCCACCAGCTTCCTGCCCCAAGGCTGAAAAGACCACCATAAGGCTATCAGGCCATCCCGGGCTATCAGGCCACCCTAAGGCTATCAGGCCACCCTAAGGTTGAAAAGGCTATCATGCCACCCTAAGGCTATCAGGCCACCCTAAGGCTATCAGGCCACCCTGGGCTTTCAGGCCACCCTAAGGCTATCAGGCCAC